TTTGAACTCAGGACTTCCCAACTCAGCATTCTATCCACTCCATCACTTAGCTGCCTCAGAAGCTAATAGATTCCCTCACAAGAAATCTTCGAGCAAAGGCTAGCTCACTTGTCAGATATATTATAGAGCAGACTGTTGGTCAGGGATGAGTTGGACTAGAATCAGGGGTGGAGAACCTGTGGCCCTTTAAGTCCTCAAGTGCTGCCCTTTGACTGAATCCAAACTTCACAGAACAAAGCCGCTTAATAAAAGGATTTGTTCTGTAAAACTTGGACTCAGTTAAAAGGCCATACCCGAGGACCTAGAAGACCACATGTTCTGCATCCCTAGACTAAAAGACCTTTGAGGTCCCTTCCAGTGCTTAAGATTCAATGATTCTATGACATATACAACAGGAGCTCAGATAAAAGGGGTGAATGTGGGCTGGACTAAGCAGGGAAGATTTTACGTAGATAGGTCTCAAATTGGGTCTTGAAAATTGTGTAAGTTTTAATCAGATGGAGAGGGGCAGGGAGACCTAACAGGCAAGGCAAACGGCATGAACAAAAACAAGGAGATGGAATGATGGTGACATAGAGGAGTAGGGAGAGATACAATGAAGAGAACTGCTTGGCTGGAATGGAGACTGCATATTGGGAAATTGTGAAAAATAAAGCTCTGCACATACATTAGCACAAGATCACAGATAGTCCAAAAATCCAGGCAGAGAAGTTTGGACTTGAAGCAGGAAAGTGAGCTGCTGGGGTGGCAGGAAATTAACAGAATGTTATTATCATTAAATAATGGTACAGATCTTTCCGTATGATTAAGCAAATGGGGAAATATTTGTATTAGTCAAAATCTGGTGTGAAATCTTTTGGTAGACCGTGTAAGAGCAGTATGCCTGATTCTAAACCCATCGACCATACATTCCTGATCTCTTATTTGCTCTTGGAGTCTAGTATAAATAAAATTGTAGTCATTTGAGTATATGCACTGTTACATATGTTACTTTTCTGTGGTGATATTAGCTGCTTGCTTTTTCACTTACTTAGTGCTGGCAAAAAACCAAACCAAAACAAAACAAACAAAAAAACCCAGCAACAACTATATGCCTGTATAAAGTGGGCCGGGAGAAAGGGAACAAACAAAAGAAAGATGGGCCTGGGCTGAGCATTCAGTCTTTCATGTTACCTTATTTTTTATATTAAGCTTCACTTTCCTTTCCATGTCTTAGATATCTAGAGCAGTTTCTTCTGGGACAGATGGTGATTTTTCAACATTTACTCCATTTTAGGGAAAAAGGGAAAAATTTATGAACTGATAGATGAAATTCTGCACATGGTATTGATTCTATCTTCATAAATTTATTTTTCCACAGCTAACAGTTCTCTTCCTGTGAGCTGGGAGGTGTGGAAGCCCTGAAGCCCTGGAGTTGTGTGAATTACAGCTCAGCCTCCGGAGCAACACAGCTTCCTCTCTCCTTTCCTTCCTGCCTACTTCCTAGGGCTTCATTTTCTGTCAGAGGGTCATCCTTTTTGAATGATTGTCAAATATATATGCAGGTGGCATACATCGGAAAGACTGGAACACTCCTGAGCACTGAATGATTAGCAGCTGGGTCTGATCGGTCAAGCCTTTATTGCAGCAATATTATGAATGACAATAGTAGAAAAATGAAAACTTTTAAAAGCACTTTCAAGTAATGTGATTTGGTTGGAGTACACTGGTTTCCAAGGAGAACCTTAATTAACACAGCATATTAATTGAAGAGAACAATCTCTTAAAACATTACTCAGGCTGAAATTTTCCAGCACATGGTAGCAGCAAAATAATGGCTCTTATTCAAATGTTTTTCCCTAGAGAGAATTATTCTTGGAAAGGAAAAACTAGAGGACAATAATTTATAAGCTCATATGCTTTCATAAGGGTCCTAAAGCATCTTCTGGGTGATTTATGGCAGCTATTTAAGACTCAAAAATACCAAGAATGTTTGGGAGAGAAAAAAAAATAACGTAGTTGGTATTTAAAGGAAGTATTTGGAAAATGTGATCAGAATTTAGAGAAGCAAAATATAAAGAGCAAATGGAAAATAAAATGTATAAAATTCTTTACCAGCATGCGTAGATGTAGACACTGTAAACCTAATTGTCCTTGTGATACCTAATAAACAGAGTTCTAGTAGGTAAGTGGAGACCAAGATGTCCCTAGTTATGTTTGCTAGTTCGGTTAAGATGAGAAAAATAATCTTTTATATTTACTTTGTCTATTCCAGAGTATGAACCAGATCTTTCTTGTGTGGACAAGAAAAAATCAGTAGACATAATTTATTTTAACTTGTAAAAAGCCTTAGAAATGTATTCACACTAAAGACTATTAAAAATAAAGTTATATGGAATTGGAAAAAGTTTTTTTTTTAGGATAGGGGACTGGGTGGGAGAAAGGAAAAAAAAGGAATAAAGTACTTCTCTGGATAGAAAAGTATAAAAGCGATATTCTTTAGTGATTGATGTGAGGTCTTGTACTGAACATTTATAAAGAACCTAGAAGAGAGTGTTTACAACTAAATCTCTAAGTTTATAGCTGACATTGACTTCTTCTGATTAACAAAAGATGAATCTCATCTTCTGTAAGATCTCATACCGGGCAGAAAATGGACAGACAAGTTTCACTGTGGGCATCACAGGAAAAAATAATCCAAACTATCCTTCTAGCATGGAGAGCACTGAACTATCATTTGCAGCATAGAAAAGAGAGTGAAGAGTTGTCCTAGACTGCTCCTAAAGATGATCGCCTCAATGTGCCACTTTGGCCAGAAGAGCCAAGGAAAGCTTGTATGTTATAAATCTTGAAACAAAACATAAAATCTTATTCCACCTTTATGTATAAACAAAATACATTTTAAGTGCACATAGTTCTTTCTTAAAACCATACATCTAGAAAAGTCGTGAAACTGGAAAAAAGTATAGAAAAAAAATTATAATGATCCAGAGATATTGAGGAATTTCGACTTTATTTTTTGAAAAGCTTCTTCCTATCTTTAAAGTCAATGGCTGAAAGAAGACATGATCAAAATTTTTTAAATTACGAAATATATGAATAAAGAGAACCCAAATATTGGAATTAGGGAGGATGATGGGAGGGAGTATTCCTATTGCAGAAAGTTGGATATCCCATTACTCAGTGATAAAGTAGTAGAAACATATTTGAGAAGCTACAGTTTGAGGCTCCTGCATTGGATATGGGCTTGGGTTTGTAGCCAGCACGTTTGAGGGACACAGGGTTCTAATCAGTCATAAATGTCATTGCCTACTCTTCTTGTTTTCCTGACAGTATTAGAGGCAGAGCTCAACATTGATTTGTGTGATTCTTTTCCTCTATAGGGATTTAAAAATTATCAACAACAAATATTTATTGAGTACCTATTATGTGCCAAGATTATTCTAGATAGGTTTAAGATACTGTTCCTGCCTTCATGAAGATTACAGTCATAGAGATTATAAGTTGGGAAGAGAGGACATATGTGTACCTACAAAGTAAATGTCAATATAATTCAGTTTTGCTATATTTAGCACATGTTAAATGTCAAATAAGATTATGCCCATAATCATACATAACAGTTACTTCCATCTAGCGCACAAGAGAAAGAAGCTTTTCTTAGGGTATACTTAAATGACATTTAGATAAATCTGCACAAAAGTGAAAAAGAAGTTCCAATGAACAGAAAGACCCTTACATAACCACAAATGAAGCCATCTTTGATGGCTAACTTTACATTTTTTTGCTGTTCTCCTAGAAACCTCTGGAAATATCCTATAAACTATTTGTGAGGCTTGTAACTTTCCTACAACCTTCTAGGTTTTTTTTTTCAGTCTACTTAGTTCATGGTGAAGTATTTTTTCCTCTCTTCCTATTTTTATTAACATTTTATTAATCACTTCCAACTCTTCTTCTCCAGCCCTACCCCCCATCTCCCCACCCGAGCACTAGGGATTTCAAGGTTTAGCTTGCATAACAGGTAATAGCAGGCATTTCCTTCTCCTGTGACGGGATATCCTGGCGCCCTTCAGTCTCTCTCTAACTCTGTTTAAAGCAGACTCCAGCACAGGAAAAAAACTTCAGTCTAAAATTAGCAGTTTGATAGAAGAAAGGCACATGGCTGTCCACTGTACTGTTTGTCAATGAAACAACAAGTCTAAAGAGGGCCAAAATGCATTTCCTTTTTGGGCAAAACAGACCTATTGAGCCTCAGGGGGTGATGGTGGGGCCATTAAAAGAGAGAGACAAACCAAACACAGGGAAAGTATCTTAAACTTTCTAGGCTACAACACTGTGCTCTTTCTTGGCTTTCCCCTTCAGTCTCCTTACCCCCCAGACCATTCTTGGGAGATAGATACTGCTGTTTCAGGGACTGCAAAAAGAAAAAAAAAATACATATATATATGTATGTATATATATGTGTGTGTGTATATATATGTGTGTATATATATATGTGTGTATATATATATATATATTACACCAAAAAAGGAGAACAGGACACACCTATTTGCAGCGTTATACAAACTCCTTAACGTGAAAATTTCTCATTGGTAGAGGAAAAATCACCTCTTCTCTACCAGTGGTGCTATAAGACAATCAGTTTAAGTTGTGAAGAGAACTTTTCCCATGTTTTCCTATTCTGAAATGGTTTTTTCCCATTCTGAAACAATAGCACCTAAATGTAATTTTGACAAATGACCATATGAATTCCATCAGTCCTAAATAGTGTTAGAATTTGGTATGTCCCTCATTATTCTTCAGTGGCTACTTTCAAAGGTGCTCCACATTCTGACCTTTTAGAAAGAAGGTTTCTCAAGAAAGCTAGGATCCTGGGAATTATTTTCATATCTTTCATTATTTCCAGAATGATTCGTTTTAGACTTCCAGTAGTTTCCTTTCCTGTATGTGTCAAATCTATTCATTCATCCTTGCAGAATGAAGTAGTTTTCAATTCTTGCCTTATCATTAAGTAAGGTACTTACTTGCAAGTTGGAATACAGCAGCAATGGCTTCCTCCCACCATTGGGTGTCCTGTGAAATGATGGGCAAGTCCATCAGCCCCATGACAAAGATGAGCTGTCCTGCAGTGAGGGCAACAGTAGCAATCAGGTTACAGGCCCGCATCATATCAAACTGCACTGTGAGGGACACACCAAAACAGAAGAGGACTACGTTAGACCAAAGACTGGGTCTCCAACTGAAATACTAGATGAAGTAATTCAATGTTGCTGGCCTTACAAAGAAAGTTCTGTATAACCTGGGCCTTTATTGCAGCTCCGAGTAGTTATTGATAATTGATTTCTAATTCATTATTATGCTTTCAAAAGTAATATTAACATCTTCTTAGGTTTTCATAGTTTCTTGTTCTTTTCAAAACCCTTTCCCTTTTATATTGTGAAATCTGTTGAAGATCGTTTCTGTTACATCAAGTGGTACTATCAAAGCACATTTCTGTATAAGATAAGCAACCTTCTAGAAGTGGAACATTCACTATTTATGCCACTAATACGTCTCTGCTAGTAACCTTTGCTCTAATAAAGTGCAATGAGCTCTCTACAGTGACACCTCTACTCAGTTACCTTCTTATTTACCAGACCCTAGGATAGCCCATTTTTATTATTTTTATCAAGATTTGATAAAATCACAGCTGTTACACCCTGATGATCAAGCGCTTTCCTTTCAAAGTACAAGAGGACCCACTTTCAAATAGGAAAATAGAAAAGAAAACAGAATGTCACCCCAAGTTTAAATGATTCAATGATTCAAAATAAGTTCAATGTCATACAAGGAGGATTTATTAACTGCCTACTGTGTGCAAGGCACCATGGTCAGCACTGAGGGAAATGGACAAAATGAAACAGTCCTGTCCTCATGGACCTTACCCTTTACTGGGGAATATAGCAAGGATGTAGACAAAGGTAAAGCCTATACAGAGTAAATACAAAATAACTTCAAGAGGAAGAAAAGATTAACTGGGAGGTGTCAGGAAAGTCACTGGGCAGCAGAGGGCTCCTGACCTGAGCCTGGAAGAACCTGGGAGGAAAGAAGGGCAGAGGGAAGCGAAGAGGGGCAGGAGGAAGGCCAGTTTGGTGCAATGTGGGGAGCATGGAAGAGAGGGGCACTCAGCTCCTGTGGGAGCCACACTCCTGAGCTCTCCCTGACAACAATGGTGGATACAATGAACTCAAAGTGGGAGCATTTACCAAAATGGTAGAGTAAGAAAGGATATGGCAGCTGTGAACAAACTACAAGCACCATGGGGGTCCAGTCAGTGTTTAACAACCAGCCCTCCCCAAAAATGTATGCATGACACACTTTTAGGTTTAACCTACACTGTTAGCACACACACACACACACACACACACACACACACACACACACACACACACACACACACACACACACACACACACACCTTGAGTGACAGGGCTAGTCTTCCATAGCTAGTTTTTGCTTCTTGAAATTGCCTGCCTCTGTAAATGCTGCTTTTCTGACTTTGTTTGCCTTGAGAGTTTGTGTCTCCCTACTTTGAGCTGTGCAACTCTCTGAACTGCTCCCTGATGAATACAGTGTCTCCTGGTGAGTGAACAGGTCCCCCTGCTAATTGCCTTGGTTCAATGGATGGGGGAGAAGCAGGAATGAAAATGTTCTCTCCTCTGTCCTTTGGTAGAGACTCAGGGGACACACTCCACTGAGCTTCTCCCTTCTGGAGAAACAAAAGGCCTCCAGTGCTGTGGCAGTCTTCACACAGCTAATAGCCAGCTACTCCTCTAATTCCATCAGAGGAACTTTTTCACACTTCATGAAGGCATAACAAAGCTAGACATGTCTTTTCACTTCATTTAATATGTTCACAGTTGTGTTATCAGCTCCTTATTTCCATGTTATATTAACAACTCCCTCCACCCACACCCACATACACACACACACACACACACAACAAAGTTTGAAAAGAGTATGGAGCCAGATTGTATGAAAAGTTTTAAATGTCAAAGGATTTCATATTTTATCCAGAAGCAGTAGAGAAGCATCACCTCATATGCATTCAGTAATAATAAGTTCACAAAGTTAAGTTATCTCATGCTGGCAAAATGGGAATTTCTTTTTCTCTAAAAATTTGGTAACATTATACTAAATACTTTGCCTCAGGACCACGTGATGATCCCACTGTAAAAGGTTTACTCAAGAACAGAAAAGTAGGTAACACATTCAGTGAATTCTTTTTAGAAGAAAAGTTATTTTAAAATTTGTTTACATTAAATTAATAGAGGGTAACAGAAGCAATATACAATAGAGGTTGCTTTATCACAGGAATTCTCGCTGTTCATTATAATATGAACTAAAAAAAATAGTATACATTTATGTATCATACAACTCATTTGTGCATCCTAGGCAAGGCCTGAAGATTAGACTCTTTCTAACCCCCATATATGAAACTCTGACCCCTTTTCCAGGTATATTACTGAGGTACAGCTTGGTACATTATAAAATAAGTACATGTCACAAAGTCTGGATTTTTTGGCATTAAAATGGATGTATTTTTAAAGTTAATATTAAGACTTAGACTTCGTTGCTTCCCTCCTGCCTCCCACCCCCTCATCCCACCCCTTGATTTTGTACCCTACACAGCTACCCACATTGTCTAACTCCTAATCCTGACTGCTTGGGTTGCAGAGATGTTTTAATATGTGATGGCAGTTTGTCTTCTATCACAACCTCCCATAACTTACTGAAACAGACTTTGACTGTAGGCATATGAGAATTGTACAACTATCAAGAAGAAAAAAATAAGTTAAATGAATTCTTGGCCTTGCTCTTTATGATTAAAGATATTAGAACTTCCATCCCAAAACTCTCTCTTAAAGTAGATTATTTAATCTCATTAGGGAAGATATGTGGAACGTCATGCTGCATTGTCATGTGGACATTTCAAATAACATTTCCCAACACTTTATTGAAGTTTAGAAAGTAAGGTTTCATATGCTGAATCAAAGCAAAGAAACTCAAAACTGTTTTACTTCCAAAATTCCCAGAAGAAGAACATCACTTTCCATAGGAAGAATGGTGGTCTAGATTGCTGTCTTGGGCAAAGTTTGGGAACAGTTTTCCCAGAAATTTTTCTCAAATACTTTTGAGGACCTAAGATTTGAGGATGGAGACCAAAATTTAAAATAATTTACCAAAAGGTCTGAGTAAAATCCAGAAAAGACTAGATAAATAGCTATGCATTTCTGACCTTTCTGTTCCTTTTCCTCGATGACTTTTTTTTTTTTTGCCAATCTATTTCTTATAAATTTTTTAAAAGAAATTTTGGCAAGATGATGTAATCCTCCTTAAAATTTTACATTGTTACTTTATTCCTTTCTCATTTGATATTTTTAAAGAACACCTTAAACTGTGTTTGTGAAAGTTAATATGAAACGTTTTCATCAGCACCTTTATTTATATAATTTTCCCTTCTATAATATTTTTCCCACATCTTCTCCTTTGCTGATATAGATCTTGCCTTACCTTCAGTGCCCAGCTCAAATTCCATATATGGAAGACTTTACTGACAATATCAGCCCACAAAGGTCTCTGTCTTTAGAAATCCCATAGCATTTACCTAGATAATTTACTTAAGGTTCACATTGCTTCATACAGTTATATTTATCTCTTTATGTTATTCCTATTTCCTCAACTGAAAGTGTAATGTTTTTTTAGAGAAGGAATTATGTCTTATTCTTCTTGGTATGTCCCAATACCTTATCTCTCCAATAAAACACATTATATGTAATGGGAAAATGTTGGTTGATTGATAAATAACACCTGATTAAGCTATCATATTTTCCCCATATATTTGTATATTTTGATGGATTTGTGATCTCATTTGTAGGCAGTCCTTCCAGTGGAACAAAGGGTACCCCATCCATGCTTGCTTATCTTGTGTAACCCTTGTCCATACTTTCCCAAAAATCCTCCACAGGGTACCTGCACATCATTACAGGCCTTCCTTTAGATCTATGATTTCCAATTTTTAAAAATTACCTCTATCAAAAAATGTTTAAGGATACACCCCCAATATATGTATGTTTATTTATAAATGTGCTACTGTATTCATGTTGTATTCACTATAAAACATAGACAAAAATAGAAATTTAAAGGATAATATGAAGATGAAATAAATAGTATCCTAAACAATTTAAATTTTATTAACAGTACAAAAACATTTTGGTATCATGTAAGATACTATCATTATTAACATTTTAATGAGAGAAATTTAATTGTTTCAATATTTTTAGAAAATCTTGGTTTAACACTTTGATACAATAATTTAGAAGTCTCATTCTAAGTTTAGTTTATTTTGATACTTGTTAATGACTGTTAGATAAAGGGCAAAATCAAAATAAAATAGAACCTCACAAAGATAATGTAGAACCAAATGAAAGAAGTACATTGTTGGATGTACTTATGAAATCATGAAGCTCATTTTTTAATCCCATCCACCACCTATGCAAAAGTTTTCTTGAAATACTGCTGGTAAATTTCCATATTCTTAGATGTTAATCAATTGTTCTTGTAAAGTATTTGGAAAGTATTGCATTTTTTATTTTTACAAATGGGTTTAAAACCCATTGAAAAGCTTCATTTGGAAGATTTTTAAATAGGATAGAGGACTCTGTTCCAGATTTTTAAAGTGTACATATATGAATCTATATAGGCAACAAAAGTTTAATTTTTTAATGTCTTGCTAATCAAAATGACTTTACGCTATTAGCTAATAATATATTAAGGCATAATATCCACTTAGGGCAAGGTTCATCATTAACAACAGTATATGTAATCTACTTGATAATTTTGAATTTTTTGACTGACTTCTTGTTTTTTCTTTACAATTTGACTGATAAAGGGCTTGTACTAAAAATGTCTGCTCAACCATTTTCTTATTGTTCAACCCAGCTCACATTAATGTCATCTTCAATCTGAAGTTTCTTTGCCGGACTCCCTAGGTCACTTGACCATTCTTTGAACTTAGGTTACTAAAAACTAGATAATATAATATGTAGATCTACTTATACTCAGATATTTATGAATTGTGCGATACATGAGAATATATCGAAAACGAAAGAATCAATGAGGGCTCCACTGTCAATCTATG